CTCTATTTCTTTCTCTCTCTTTCTTTCTCTCTCTCTCTTTCTCTCTCTCTCTCTGACAGTAATGCATAAAGCATTTACCATTATCTTTAATATTAGGCAGTCGTTTCTTTCATATTTTCTTCTCCGGTGTATAGGATTGTTCGATCTTTGCTTAAAAAACTCCTTTTTTTCAAACTTGTTTCACCTTCTTACTTTTTTTTAATCTTTTTTTAAAACCCCAAGCAAGGCGGAAATGCTACTAGTACACTAGGGGGTTACAAAGAGTGAAAGTGAGAGGAAAGACTTACTATAATGAGGAATGAGAAAAGAAGAAAAACTGAGCGGGATTCAATAAAATAGAAAATGGCGATTGATGTTGCATTTAAATTTTTGAAGAATGTAGCTATCAGGGAAGCAAGTAAAAGAAAAGATTTACTCAAGCGCGGAGTGCGAGACCTTTTCAAATTATGAATATTTAGTCATTCTATTAATTATTTCATATTTTCTAATATTTCTCTTAGGTAGTGTGTCAAAACATTCAAAACCTCAACTTTCATTTTAACCATCCTTCTGACAGTCATTGAATAAGGGTCATAGGAGGCATGTCACAAGTGTAACGCCTTACGAAGCATGGGATCAACCCTGATCAAACTGGATCTCTTTCTTCGTCTCACATTAGTGAAATTATGAATTACCAAGTTTTGTTTCGGTAGCGGTAAAGGAGACGTTTCCTTGTTGTCTCGTCCACGGTGATGATATCGGGACACCGACCCAGTTTAGTCGGTCAACTCTTAGTATTTTTCGGATCGTTGATAGGAATCATTTACCTTCCGACTGTGGGGGCTATCTGCCCCAAGGAGATCAGTTGCGAAGTTGATTTAATTTACCAATTAAATCGACAAAAATAATTACGGCGTTATTATGGTTTAATTATAATGTAAGACAGGGTTTTTTGGCAAAAGAAGAGTGATTGGGAACCACATCATAACTAAAAGAGATAACCTGCGAAGAAATATGAGCTTCGACATATTAGCGACACATATTCTGTGAAGTGATAATATGTGTTGCGATTTAATATGTAAACAATTGGGTGAACATAAAAGATCGGGAGTCAGGTAACTAGAGATTTTCTGGGACACGCAAGATTTAACTAAGCAAGTCTGTTAAAAACATGGTAATAGATCTCATCATTTCATATTCTAAATGGGTACCCGGAAGATTTATATTAACAGTTATTTTTCTAACGAAATCCATGCCTGTGGAACTTCCTTCGTTTTACTACCCTGATAGCTATATTCTTCAAAAATTTAAGTGCAACGTCAATCGCCATTTTCTCTTTTATTTAATCCCGTTCATTTTTTGTTGTTTTCTCAATCCTCATTATAGTAAGTCTTTTCTCTCACTTTAATTGTTTGTAACCCCCTTTGATCTTCAAAAATTTAAATGCAACCTCAATCATTCTATTCTGTCTTCTTATTTATTGTACTTTTATGGTTATCGCTGTTATGTTTTTCTATTCATTTTTTTCTCTTATACTGTCAGACGCAGTAATTGCGTCTTATTGGCTTTATTACCTCGCTTTTGCTGAAATGTTAAAAAAGATATATACGGGTTATCTCTTTGTAATATTTGTTCCTGCTTGAATTGATTACTGTTTTATACAAAATGTAACACCAAATATATCAACAATTATTTTTAAACGGTATTTGAAAAAAATATGCTTCCTATACTCTTGTCAGTCTCAGTAGCTGACCCCGACAGTTTTCGCCTTACATGGGTGAGATTAGACCAGAAATGGTGTTCTGAAGCCATATATGGGATGGAAATGCAAAATCGTCACTTTACAGCCTCGATAGATTTCAAAAAAAAGAAAAAAAATATACTCTTCAGTCTCTTTCTGACAGAACGAAGCAACATTATCACAATTTCAATAGTTAGTGTTCAAACATATAGGACACAAGGTGCTACGTCTACGGAGTCGAATCATTCACATTTCCTCCGGATTCCAATTGTAAAGCTGAAGTTTCACTCAGACAGATTTTTTCGAGTCCAGCACTTACACGCAAAAAACTCTTTAAAATATATGAAGCCAATTCTTCTCACTCCAAATATTGGTTAAATAACAGGACTTTTAAATAAAACAAAATCATTATTATTCTCAAAAAAACATTTTTAATATTCACTTGAAATAAAATAACCCTCCTCGCATAATATATGGCGGCTTTAAATAGCACATAACAGGGTTTATAGACCGTAAATAAAAAAAAAAAAAACAATACTTTATTAATTAATCCGGGGAACTGCTTCTTTCATGATGACTCCCGGAACACTAAAATTTAATCTCTGCAAGTCAAATGTAAATCACTGTCTATTTTCTTTATACTCTACACTTCATTCTACATCATCTTACGTTTAGATCATACTCGGTATTCAGTAACCCACTGGCAACACTCCCTCTTTAGACTACTATTGGGTGGAATTTAGTATAAATATGGTACAATACAAAGCTATCATCTTAGACGAGCCCTTTTGGTAATAACCGCATAGTAACGTATTCGAACTCTCTCCCCCAAGGGACAAATCTTAAAACACAAGACGACAGAATGATGAGCCGGAAGTGCGAGTTGCAGGTCAGGGACACTAAAACCACGCATGTGCAGAATTTTAAAAATCCGGGAAGTGTTTTGACGGTGGACAGTAAATGTGAAGCTGAGAACCGAAGACGGATTGGGGTAGCCAAGGATGCATTCCAAAAGCTGGGCAGAGTTCTGCGAGACAGGAGGATTTCTAAGGTGACAAAGAAATGAGCACTGAGCTGCTACGTGACATCTGTCCTTCTTTACAGCAACGAATGTTGGATGGTAAGTGCGACGCTGAGATCCGAAGACGTATTGGGATGGCCAAAGACGCATTCCAAAAGCTAGGGAGAGTATTACGAGACAGGAGGATTTCTTTGGTAACAAAGAAAAGAATGCGGAGCTGCTACGTGACATCTGTCCTCCTTTACGGCAGCGAATGTTGGACGGTAAGTGCGACGCTGAGATCCGAAGACGTATTGGGATGGCCAAAGACGCATTCCAAAAGCTAGGGAGAGTATTACGAGACAGGAGGATTTCTAAGGTGACAAAGAAATGAGCACTGAGCTGCTACGTGACATCTGTCCTTCTTTACAGCAACGAATGTTGGATGGTAAGTGCGACGCTGAGATCCGAAGACGTATTGGGATGGCCAAAGACGCATTCCAAAAGCTAGGGAGAGTATTACGAGACAGGAGGATTTCTTTGGTAACAAAGAAAAGAATGCGGAGCTGCTACGTGACATCTGTCCTCCTTTACGGCAGCGAATGTTGGACGGTAAGTGCGACGCTGAGATCCGAAGACGTATTGGGATGGCCAAAGACGCATTCCAAAAGCTAGGGAGAGTATTACGAGACAGGAGGATTTCTTCGGCAACAAAGAAAAGAGTACTGAGCTGCTACGTGACATCTGTCCTCCTTTACGGCAGCGAATGTTGGACGGTAAGTGCGACGCTGAGATCCGAAGACGTATTGGGATGGCCAAAGACGCATTTCAAAAAGCTAGGGAGAGTATTACGAGACAGGAGGATTTCTTCGGCAACAAAGAAAAGAGTACTGAGCTGCTACGTGACATCTGTCCTCCTTTACGGCAGCGAATGTTGGACGGTAAGTGCGACGCTGAGATCCGAAGACGTATTGGGATGGCCAAAGACGCATTCCAAAAGCTAGGGAGAGTATTACGAGACAGGAGGATTTCTTCGGTAACAAAGAAAAGAGTACTGAGCTGCTACGTGACATCTGTCCACCTATACAGCACCGAATGTTCGACGGTCTCTCACAAAGATGAAGAAACGTCTCGAGGCAGCGGAGATATGGTTCTACAGAAGGATATTAAGAATATCATGGACCGAGCATGTGAGCAACGATGAGGTCTTGGAGAGTATGAAAACAAGGAGAAGACTTATATTTAACATGAGGAAGATGCAGATCAAATTTCTGGGATACGCAATGAGAAAGAAAGACGACACACGAGGTAATGGAAATAGGGTTCTACAGAAAGATGCTAAGGATATTATGAACCTGAGCGTGTGAGCAACGATGAAGTTTTGGATAGGATGTAAACAAAGAGAAAGCTTATACTTAACATTAGGAAGAAACAGCTGAAGTTTCTGGGACACGTAACGTGACTGGAGAATCTGATACTCACAGGTCGAATAGAGGCGAAAATGACAAGAGAAAGCATCACATGACGTACCTGGCGGGCTTAAGCAAGTGGATGGCAGAACGGGTTCTGGGGGAGGAAGGAGAGGGAAGGTACTTGTTGAGAGCTGCAAGTGATAGAGAGAGATGGAAAGCTATGATCGCCTACGTCCTGAAAGGACACGGCACATAAAAAGAAAAGACTCTTTAAAACATGAAAGCCATTTAGTTATTTTCACCAGACAGTAATCTATGTCTTGACAGATTTCATTTCTTAGTTTTACGATAGAGCCAAGTCGCGAAACATCACTTGTTGTACAAATCATTGAATTACAAAGGAACTTCGCGGTAGTGGCAGTCTTAGCAGGGGTTGTAGTAATTTTAGCCATCGAAATTACAGAAAATTTGGCGATGCGAATCGTAGTGAGCAACGAAAGCGATTGGCGCTTACCCATTCCATAAAGACCAGGCGTCGATTCTGCCTTTGTTAGGATAAAATGGGAAAATTAAATTGGAACCTGCTCAGCCCTTGCACTCAGTTCTTAGTCCACCCTTCATCCCCAATCAAGTTTCATCAACCACCCTCGCCTGCTCCTAAGAATCTAAATAGTAAGATTCTCCCTCGGCGAACGGATAGCGTGTTCCGCGTTCGTCTTCATCTTTTTCGCCCGGGATGAAGCCAACGTTTTGATCAGAGATGGCACGCGACAAAAGGGGTGACGGGGGCCACTATTGTTGTTCTAACGGCGAGGGTCGCTAAGTTAATGGATAGATGGTGGAACGCTGCTAACTTGGACGATTTTCCTCAGATGGTTGGTGGAGGGATGTTGTTTGTGCTTTTAGAAGGAAAATGATCAAAGTGTCGGAGGAGGAGGAGAGAGTGAAAAGGGAGACGTAGCGTGGATAGGGGAAAGAAAGTGTGCAGGTTTGGGAGGTGATCGTAGAAGTCAGATGAAGAAAACAGAAATGATTTGGATGGGGAAATGGAGAGTAAGGTGGATAATTGATTGGAATGATGATTGGGACGATCGAAATTGGAAGATCTCTTTTTGGATAATGGAGAGAAAATGAAAGAAATGCAAAAGCAGAAAATTCGGGGTGAGGAAAAATAAGTTAGTGCTGAGGAAACATTGCGTATGGCAAAGAAAATAAGAACGATGACGAGTAAGATTGAAAATGTCCAGTAAAATATGAAATAATTGGTTAAAAAGAATTAATTAGAGAAAAAAGAAAAACGAGGAGAAGAAAGTGCAATAAAAAGAAGTGAGATAAATGCAATAAAACGAGCAGAAGAAAGTGCAATAAAACGAGGAGTGGAAATTGAAATAAAACAAGAAGAAAGTGCAATAAAATGAAAAATGTAAATTGAAATAAAACAAGAAGTCCAATAAAACGTGGAGTGGAAATTGAAATAAAACAAGAAGAAAGTACAATAAATCAAGAAGAAGCAAGTGCAATAAAACGAAGTACAATACAAATAGAAGAAGGTGTAATAAAAGGAGGAGAAGGAAAGTGAAAGAAAACGAGAAGAAAGTAAAATAAAACGAGAAGAAAGTTATTTAACACGAGAAGAAAGTGAAATAAAACGAGAAGAGGAAAGTGCAATAAAACGAGAACAAAGTGCAATATAACGAGGAGACGAAAGTGCAATAAAACGAGAAGGAAGGAAAGATAAACGGAGTTTACGAGCTGCAATACAACTAGGAGAATGTGCAATAAAACGAGAAGAAATGACAATAAAAGGAAGAGAGGAATTTGCAATAAAACTAGTAGAAGTATGTGCAATAAAACGAAGAATAGAGAGTTCAATAAAACGAGAAGAAAGTGCAATAACATGAAGAGAAGAGCGTGCAATAAAACGAGGAGCAGAAAGTGCAATAAAACGAGAAGAAAGGGTAATAAAACCAAGTGTACGAAGTGCAACATAACTAGAAGCAAGTGCAATAAAACGATAAGAAATGACAATAAAATTAAGAGGAATTTGCAATAAAACTAGTAGAAGAAAAAGTGCAATAAAACGAGAAAAATCTCGCAAAGAGGAAGAAATGAAATCAAAAGATAAAAATGAAATGAGAAAACAATTAAAGTAATACATAAACGAAGGATTAAAGAAAGAAAGTAGAAAGAATAGTGACCCAGATACGATGAAATAAAATAAAATAAAAATACAGAAATTAAAAAGAGGAAAAGCAGATATCAAAAGCGAAAAATGAAAAGAAATGAAAAATAAAAAAGACATCAAATATTTGAATATATGAAGGAAAGACAAAGAAATAAAAATAATTAAAGTACAAAAATATTAAAAAAGACAAACCAAAAAAAATTGTAAAAGGGAAGAAAATGAAAAGGGAAAAATAAAAGCAGAAGAAAAAAAGAATAATGAAAATAAATAAAATACAAAATTCGAACATTAATGGAAAAAGTAAAGAGAAGAATCGAAAAAGGGTAGAAAGAAATAAAAATATTAAAAAAATAGCCAGCAAGAAAGAGTAAGATAAAAATGAAGAAGATGAAAATGAAAAAAAAAAAAACATCGAGATTAAAAGCGAAAAACAGAAAACGAAAAAAAAGGAAGAAAAATTGAAAAAAATAATAAAAAGAACGAAAAAGACCCAAAAGAACTGTAAGTGATGAATGAAAAATAAAAAAAAGAAGAAGAATGCAAGAAAAGTCAAAACAATAAAGGAAAACTAATATAATGAAAAAGAAGAAATAATTTAAATAAGAAAGAAAAATTCAAAATTAAAAAGAAGAGAAGGAGGAATCTAAATGAAAAAATCGAATGAATTAAAAAAAGAAAATTGAAAAAACAAAGTAAAAAAGCAAATAAATAAAAAAGAAAAAGCAACGAGAAATGAATGTTCTCAAAAAAGAAAGAATAGAAAAAGAGAAAAGCAGAAACAGAATTAAAAAAGAAAGAAAAAATGAAAAAGACAAAGAATGTCAGAAAGAAAGAAATATGAAACAAATAGATGAAAATGAATCAAAAAAGAAAAAATATTCAAAAATAAAGGGAAGCATGCAGAAAGAAGGTAAAAAATTAAAGAAATAAAAAATAAACGGAAAAAGAAATCAAAAATAGAAAGAAAGAATGATAGAAAAACGTAAGGTAAAATGAAAAAAAAAATTAAATAAATAAAAAATAAACGGAAAAAGAAATCAAAAATAGAAAGAAAGAATGATAGAAAAACGGAAGGTAAAATATAAAAAAAATAAAGAAATAAAAAATAAATGGAAAAAGAAATCAAAAATAGAAAGAAAGAATGATAGAAAAACGTAAGGTAAAATGAAAAAAAAAATTAAATAAATAAAAAATAAACGAAAAAAGAAATAAAAAATAGAAAGAAAGAATGATAGAAAAACGTAAGGTAAAATGAAAAAAAAAATTAAATAAATAAAAAATAAACGGAAAAAGAAATCAAAAATAGAAAGAAAGAATGATAGAAAAACGTAAGGTAAAATGAAAAAAAAAATTAAATAAATAAAAAATAAACGGAAAAAGAAATCAAAAATAGAAAGAAAGAATGATAGAAAACGTAAGGTAAAATGAAAAAAAATAAAGGAATAAAAATAAATGGAAAAAGAAATCAAAAATAGAAAGAAAAGAATGATAGAAAAAACGGAAGGTAAAATATAAAAAAATAAAGAAATAAAAATAAATGGAAAAAGAAATCAAAAAAATAGAAAGAAAGAATGATAGAAAAACGTAAGGTAAAATGAAAAAAAAAATTAAATAAATAAAAAATAAACGAAAAAAGAAATAAAAAATAGAAAGAAAGAATGATAGAAAAACGTAAGGTAAAATGAAAAAAAAAATTAAATAAATAAAAAATAAACGGAAAAAGAAATCAAAAATAGAAAGAAAGAATGATAGAAAAACGGAAGGTAAAATGAAAAAAAAAATAAAGGAATAAAAAATAAATGGAAAAAGAAATAAAAAATAGAAAGAAAGAATGATAGAAAAACGGAAGGTAAAATGAAAAAAAAAAAAGAAGAAATTCGGACGAACATGGCACCGAAGAAAAAATTAAATCGATAAAAAGAAAACTGAAGGCATATAAGGAATTAAGAGATGTATAACAAAAGTAGATATTAACAGGAAAAGCAGAAGATCAAAAAATGAAAAATTAATACAAGTAAAAAAAAACGTGACCATGATCGAATGTTTTTGCTTTACATTCTGTTTGCCTAATATATCCAATGTTTGTAGACAAGATTAATCAGATAAGTCAGTATCTTGCCAAGGTAGAATCTTTCTGAAACTGACATTCAAAAAGAAAATTATTCTACTCAGTGGTCGATAAATGCAAGAAAGAATAAAAAAAAGTATTCATAAGTACCTGAATGTTATGGGTATGTTTAACATTCTTAAATCAAAATATATCAATTGCATTTTCCAGATTTTTTTCTTCTAATTTCATTAGCTTCTTCAGTGTCGTTACATCTTTAATATAAAGCATTTAAAAACCATATACAGGGTGTATAAAAAAGTACTTTTAAAAACTTTGGGGGCCAAAACAAGGACAAAATCCATATAAGCATACGTCCGCAGATACTCCGTGTTGCAGTTAAGTTTAAATAAATTTTACAGTAGATGGCGTTTCATTGACATGTACACTAAGTTACATTTGTGATTCATGTACTTTTTCGGCTATTCTGTCTTCAATGTTAACGTACGATTTAACTGCAAATTATGCATTTGAAAAATGTCAGGATATGTATATCGTGAGCAGGCAGTTTTGCTTGTTTTACATCCGGCCGGGAGAATGGTAATGGACAAGAGGCTTTCTTTAAATTTATTAACTCAAAAACGATGGATATTTATATGGACTATTGTTGTTTTGGTGTGAGAAACCCGCAACTAAATTTTATAAAATTATTTTTGAGGCAGACTGTATATATATATATATATATATATATATATATATATATATATATGTGACAAAGTGGGAAAAGGTTTACGTGTGACGCGTTTGGTCCATTAAAAATTCCTTAGACTAAGTATATCTTTACGTTGATGCAACTACATATGTGCACGAAAGAGCAACGGTGGGACTTTTAAATTTCAAGAATTTTTATTTTTTATTTTAGGTTTTTTTGGGTTTTTTCATTTGATATTTTTGGGGTTTAAAATTTAACCCATTTAATAATAATAATAAAAAACAAAAACATAATGTACTTAATACATTCATGTAAACAAATCAATAAAATATTTTACTAATACAAAACAAAACAATAAGCCAGAACTTAAAAGAGGAATTTTCCACTATTACCTGTAATAATTGCCACCGAAAATAAATTGGTGAAACATCAAGGAATTCCCCAAAAAATGATTACATGCACACAAAAGGGGTATTTTACAAAACAAAACACACACATACACACACGAAAACACACACACACGAAAACACACACACACACGAAAACACACACACACACACACACATACATACACACACACACACACACATATATATATATATATATATATATATATATATATATGTATGTATTATCATTTTAAACATATTTTACTGAATACTCATATCTGAGTAAACGCTTTCTTTACTTATTAAACAGTATGATTATTTATTTTCATCTATCGGCCTAAATATTGGAGAAATCTAATTAAAAATATCGGCTCTCGGGGAGGACATGAATCTTAGTCGTCGTTGGGCAGGAAGTCCTTATACCGAAGCAGTATTTTTGTTCGAATCCTGAAAAAAGGGCGTATTTTTTAAATACATTTTCCGTGCAGGGCAATTGATAACCTAAAACATTTGTTTTAAATAAACGGAGCGCTTCTACTCAAATACCGGTATAAGATAGCGTTTCAAATTATACACACACATACACACACACACACAGACAGACAGACACACACACACACACACACACACACACACACACACACACACACACACACACACACAGATAGATAGATAGATAGATCTACGGTGATAGATAGATAGATAGATAGATAGATAGATAGATAGATAGATATTTCTTAAAATATATTAGATGCTTTCACTTGACTTACTTCTAGATGTTGACTACATCTACGCGCCGCTGGCGGATCTTATATGTGTTGTTCTTGCCCTAAATATTATCGTTCATTACCCACCTTCGTGTGATTATTCTATTCAGTAACCTTCCCTAGGTTACAACAATAAGAAATGCGTCAGATGATATAGAATATTCTTAAATTAATTATTGTGAGACCGGAAACTACATACACAATAGACTCTTCCAGGCCTATATTAAGTAGGCGACATAGCACTCTAGAGAGTCACACAGAGTCACACTGAGCGACATAGAGAGTGACATAGAGTGATATAGTAAGCTCCGCTTACACTATCTCTGTAACCTGTTGTTAATATATCTTTCTTACATCTAATCCTTTTTCCGTGTTTTACTTCTGTGGTCCCAACTTTAGCCCCATATCACTAATATTGCAAATTTATATTGACAATGGACGATTTTCATTTTTATTTTCGTATGTTAATGCTTACAATAATATATACTAATGTCTAAAATATTAGATTTTATTTATCTTGAAAGAATATCTTTCAATACAATAGTAATATTTTTATCACGACTGTCTTGAAAATAATGGTCCACAGGTGTGTTTTATATCGCTACGTGTAAGGTTTTTTTTTTCTTCGAAAAAGCGTTACGTTTTGAAATGTAAATGCAAATTCGATGCTGTCTTCAATCGACCATTTTTCCCATTTATATTCACTGTCTCTGAATACATTCACTCGCGCTCAAGAGTATATTGCAGACATTATCTAGATTTGATAATGAGCAGAGAACAATTATAAGAACTAATTGAAATTGTATGTCCTTTCTATTCTTCGTCATTCATTTTGTGTAATTTCATTTTCTTCTCCGGTGCAAAGATATAACACGGTGAAGGCTCCGAAGTTTTATGATGAGTGACAAACTAGTGTAAGTAGCCATGGTGTCTACTTAAGTGCTAAATGGATTTTTGCGACATCTGTACCACGAGGCTTGTAAAAATAAATATTGATGAATAGAAAGTCGTAGACTATATCGGAAATGTATTTAGATGAATTGAGATAACGGTTCCCGTTATCAAACGTATATTGTATTTAATTGTATTAACTTACGCATATTCAATATAACACAAATTCATATAGGGAATACATAATTCATATATATGTATATACATGTTTTATCTGCTGTACATATGTGTGTTTGTGTATGTGATTTTGCATATTATGTATATTATATGCAAAATAGCTATCTATTTGACTTTGATATAAGATGTGAAAAAGTGCACCAGAACATTAATTTTCTTATATGATACAGCATATATATATATATATATGTGTGTGTGTGTGTGTGTGTGTGTGTGTGTGTGTTTGTGTTTGTGTAAAAATTCAGATATAATTAAAAATATATCTCTAAACGCACAATATGAATGAAAGCAAAAGGAAAACTTATCTTACCTGACGAATTTGGTCCGTTAGTCTATTTTATGCTATATGCAATCGTCAGGCCTGACGATTGCATATAGCATGAAACAGACTGTCGCCTCTAAGTGTTGACTTCTATGTTCACTTTTATATTTACACACGTTCTATCTCTGATATTGAGCACTTTATCCCATAAATGTAGCACATCTTAAGACTATATATATATGCAGACATGGCCAAATTGTTGCCATTTTATATTTTAATTTTTCATACCTATTGTATATTAAGGTAAGTTGGGCACCGTCTGTCAGAATAATAGCAACATGATGCAATTCACTCGGCCAGGAATTTGGAAACGGCATACTGCACTCCTTGGCATTCGCACCGTAAGCTCCAATACGAATATTTCAGAGTGTTTCAGGAGAGTTCAGGGGAGTCTGAAAGCGTTGCATGAGTCTAATGGTGATTACTTTGGTACGGCAGATCGGAAAACTCATTTTGTTTGTCCTAATATGTGGAGAACTCTCGAATTTGTTGCTGAAGACCTCAGACTCAATACGGAGGCCTACATCAAATGCCCCGACGACGTATTGCTGCTCTCTGTTAAGAGGGTGGCTGCTGAAATACCCTCTGTCTAGCAAAAGGACGCTGCAGTATTCTACAAAAGCAGACGATTCCAATTATGCCGGTCAGGCAATGTCTGCAACCACATCATCCATTACATCTGAACACCAAACTCCCCAGCCTGCAACACCCTTGATTATTATATGTAGGACGTAGTTCAGCGAGAAACCAACAAAGATTAATTGAAGGAAAGGATTATGGTGGCCTTCCACAGATGAAGCAAGGACACCGTTCAGAAGAGATGCAGGAGATTTTTAAGTCGTCTTGGGTCCGTTATTGAAGCCAATGGCAATTTTATTGAATAAAGTTAATCTTTAGTATTTTAAAATAATCTTTTGTTTATTTTTGATAATTATATCTCTTAAAATGAAATGTCAGTATTGTTTCCGTTTTTACGTAATTTAGATTTAATTTAATTTAATTTATCCATCGCACACTGTATATATCTACATACAAGGGGAAATCAGAAAGTCAAAAGCAATTCTGAAAGTACGTGTCAAAGCAACATGCAGGCGTTGCCGCGCGTACGAATGGGATGATCGATAATTCGTCGCGTACAGCATCCCATCGTTCAGATGTGGCAGGGAGCAAGGAGGTCTGTCGTAATGAGGCATTATTCACAGAGGAACAACGAGATGCAGCCCATTTCATTATGCAGATGGAGTCAAAACTGCAGAAATCAACCTTCATCTGTAAGGACCGTCGGAACACCGCACCATCAATCAACGGGAGACGTACGAATCGGTAGAAGGCTATAAATCAAGGAAAGACGTATGAGTCTGTAGAAGGTTATAAATCAACAGAAGATGTATGAGTCTGTAGAAGGCTATAAATCAACGGGAGGAGTAAGAGTCGGTAGAAGGCTATAAATCAAGGAAAGAATTATGAATCTGTAGAAGGCTATAAATCAACGGTAGGCTTATGAGTATGTAGAAAATCATAAATCAACAGCAGGCGTATGAGTCTATAGAAGGCTATAAATCAATGTAAGGCATATGAGTCCGTAGAAGGCTATAAATCAACGTAAGACTTATGAGTCACTAGAAGGCTTTAAATCACTGGAAAGCATATCAGTCTGTAGAATGCTATAAATCAACGGAAGGCGTATGAGTCTGTAGAATGCTATAAATCAACGTAAGGCGTTTTGGTCTGTTCAAGGCTATAAATCAACGGAAGGCGTATGAGTCTGTAGAAGGCTATAAATCAACGTAAGGCTTATGAGTCACTAGAAGGCTATTAATCACCGGAAAGTGTATGAGTCTGTAGAATGCTATAAATCAACGTAAGGCGTTTGGGTCTGTAGAAGGCTATAAATCAACGGAAGGCGTATGAGTCTGTAGAATGCTATAAAGCTACGTAAGGCATTTGGGTCTGTAGAATGCTATAAATCAACGTAAGACGTTTGGGTCTGTAGAATGCTACAAATCAACGGAAGGCGTATGAGTCTATAGAAGGCTATAAATCAATGGATGGCGTATGAGTCTGTAGAACGCTATAAATCAACGGATGGTTTATGAGTCTGTAGTTAGTCTATTTATCATTGGTAGGTGTATGAGTCTGTAAAAGGCTATAAATCAAGGACATAAAATCAACGGGAGTTTTTTTAGTCAGTAGAAGGCTATAAATCCTGAATAACATTTGTCACGAGCTAATGCCGATCTGGTCGACCAACCTTTTGTTGATTCATTGATTAATTTGTTCTCTAGATTTTGTAAAACGTTGCATGCATAATATACCCGGTGTAACGGCAAAATCATCTAATCGAATAATTGTCCATCCCACAACATGTTTAAAATCGAAAAGAAGAAAACACTAAATATATTCCGTTTTTTTCCAGGTTTTCAGATAGGATGTTTAAGAATCTTGAAACCATTTGTCGTAAGAATCACTGAAAAACCCTTTGAATTATTCAGCTAAAAAGAGAATAGGTTAAAATCGTTTTGTGTTAGCACGACTATGTCACACCAACTGAACAATGGCGAAAGGAATTAGGGAATTCACTAATGGTACAAATATTCATTGACTGGCTTCTATCTTCTAAGTTCCTTCAAGAACTATCAGGTGAACGGTGAATATGTTTAAAAAAGAGGGAAAAGTAAGAGGGAAGCTGGATGAGGATGTCACAACAGGAATAGAGATCATCATTTCAACTTAGAGCTTAAGATATCAATTAGAAAAAAAGATCTCAGTCCATAAGACCTTAGACACGTGAGAGAGGTCTTTTATCGATGACAGTCCAAAGAGAAGTGAAAAATGACTTTGCGGCACCTTGTACTCCAAGAGACAAGGTTATAAGTGGAGAGGATGAAAATCATCTTGAATAAGTTGGAAAAAGATGCTGGAATAATATATATATATATATATATATATATATATATATATATATATATATTTGAAGTTTATATGAATCCTTCATGATCTTCCGATCTTTGGCTATGATTAATTAATGATGAACTTGACATTTTCGTTTATGATCGATTTTCTCACGTTTCTTCGGTAAAGATTGTAGAGTAATTATGCATTCTTCTTGCTCAAATTAGAGTCCAATAGTGCTATAAAAACCTCGGAGAATTCCAGTAAGTTATTTTCAATAATACTTAAGTTACAACGGTTGAAATATTAATCTAATAAATGGACAATCTTGCTGTTACACGCGGTGTAAGAACATCCATTAAATTCTACCGACAAGGTTTGTCTATTTAATTCAATTTAAACCTGTGAAATGTCCCGAAACACCATCGACTCTCATGGTGTTTCGACAAGAGTTTTATCCGATCTCGATATTAAAATGTCTCTTGAAGCGAATAAATCCTTTAGGTTTTTAAGATCACCCTTCATCAGATATCAGTTATTACCTGTAGCTAGAAGTGAAAATGATATAAACAAGATGGTGACGCTCTACAAATCATGAAGTATCAGTTTAGAAAAGAAACTGACCATCAGTACAAGAAACAGCGATAACAGTTTAGGGAATGAATGATTTTACCGGAAAAAAAAACACATTTAAGTGAATGATTTCACAACTTTCAAAATCGGAATGGTAAGCCCAAAAATTATAATGTTGCCCTATATGGAAAAAGCTGATCTCACCATTACCAGTGCCATTGCAAGAGAAAACCTGAAAACGTCATTTCATGGAGGAAGAAGCCTATTTGAAAAAAACTGGAAGAAGAAAGAGAAACCTTCAAAGGATTATACATATTTGACAGGAAATAATCGGTTGTTCGCTTCCCCCCTTACAGGACATTGTCGCAGGAATGCAGAAAACATAATGAAAGACAGCACGTATCCCCGGCCCTACTTATTTGAACTGTTACCCACAGCACAACATTATAGTTCGATTAGTTCTAGGACAGATTGTATCCATGGGCTCACCGATATATGAACGCAGTGGTACGCTGACAATTTTCAATGTATTACATTTCTTCATTCGATGCTGTCCGATTTTTTGTGTGGTTATGGGCGTGTGTGTATGTGTCTGATTGTGTGTGCGTTTATTGCGTTTGTGAGTTGGAGCCACTAGGATTACTGTCCAATTTCATAGTGCATTGCACGGTGACAAGAAAATAATAAATAATAACAATATATATATATATATATATATATATATATATATATATATAAAGTATATAATTGGTATATATGGAATGAATTCCAATAACCAACAATTACTATTCTTAAAAGAGATATATATATATATATATATATATATATATATATATATATATATATATATATATACAGTGCAAAGCTAAAAATATACTGACTCTGTAAATGAAATTAAATGCATTGAAGATTGATTGCAATCATAATTAAAGGTTAAAATTAAGAAATATTCATGTTTGTTGTAGGTTCAAATAAAATATTAAATGAAGGAAATTGCATGTTTATAAGTAT